GGTAGTTCACACTGGTGGCCTTTCTGACCCTGCCTAACGTGTCAAGGCTCCAGCATCTGTAGGGCTATAGAGCATCTTTGGGCCCAGAGTGGGTTTCCAAAGGCCTTTGCCTTTGCCTGCAGGGTAAATAGTTGTTTGGCCCAGCCGATGGGACCAAAGTTCATTTATTTTAAACCATTCCCCAGGCACATAGCAGGCAGGAACCTTTGCACCTTGCTCCCCTTCCAGCTGGCACCCTCTGGAGTTGGGGCAGGACTCTGCTGGCTTTGCCCAACAATGGGTTCCAAGCAATTGGTAGTTAAGCATGATAGCACACTGCAGGAAATGCTTCCTCTCCCTCAATGCTCTATAACTATCTTAGGAAGAAGTTCTTTTCTGCTCTCCCTTGAGCTCCTATAGTACTCCCAGTGTCCTTGCCACACATTGGTGGCAGAATGGAGTGGAGAGTAATGGACAAGAAGTCATATAGGGTTCAAACTCTGGCTCTCATAGGATTCAAACTCTGGCTCTGATTATTTCAGTAAAAAAAAAAAAATGGCAGAATGGAGCCATCTTATAGGTTGGTAGTGAGGATGAAGTGAGACTGGGTCGAAAGGAGCACTAACCGTTGTTAGCACTCACTCAGAAGGCTACCCTGACCTTCTGGGGCAGGCTGAGGTGCAGGGAGGTTGAGGAGAAAGAGTCTGAGGGAGAAGCTGAGCAACTTCAAGCCCTAGGTGTTGAGGGAGGGAGGCCTGCAGAGCATGATGCTTCAAGGTTGAGTTCTGTTCCCAGCATTAGGTAGCATTAGTGGCCCAGGCAGCCTGGGGCTGGAAAGACTATGCAGCAGGATTGGAGTAGTTTCAGACATGCCCCTGGGTCTCTGCTAGAATGTGGGCAGGGAGAAAAGGCATTTGGGATGAGAGGGATTGGAAGATGGAACTGTCATGAGCTTTGCAGTTTTAACTCTGTCTCTGAGTTCTAGGACTTCAGCTCAAGTGTGGGCTGGTGAGTGATAGGTAGACCCACAGAGTTTAGAGGTCTGTCCCTTTGGTAGAGATCCAGAGTCCCTTTACTCCTGGGGCCCCTGGTAGCCTCCAACCCCCTTATAGGTTTCCCAGGAGTCCAGCACCTCTCCTAAGCCCACTGTGATTCTTAAGCCGAGACAAGACTGGTGGCCAACACTGCACTATCTTCTGGTTATTTCCATGCACTTTCCAGAGCATGTGGTGAGTTATCTGAGGTCTCCAGTGCTCAGGCATCCTGTTTCATCTAGAAGTTTGTAACTTTGAGAGAACTGAATGTTGACAACTTTCTCCTGCCCTCCACCCAGTGTAAAATTCAATTTTTAAGTTTCAGCTGTAATTGCCTTGAGCCCTTCTTAACTTGTGCCCTGCCAAATGCAGTTCTTGGCTCTTAAGGTACTAATGAAATCCCTACCCTCACAGAACACAGGCTCACTTAGAAGGAAGCAGATGTTCTGGGCTTTGGAGGGCAAAGAGCTCCTGGAGTAAATGGTCCACACTCACAACCCCAGGCTTGCGGAGGACTCCTCTTACCGGTTCATTCCAGGTAGGAGAGATCTACATTCTCCGTGGCCTGGGTTAAAAGAAGCCAGGTACAAGGAAGCTAAAAACCTTATCCAAATGTCAGTGATCCATCACCTCTGGACAATCCAGAGTTAAAGAGAAGGATGATCTTGCTGAGAACCCACCAATGGAATCCCCAGAAATGTATTCCATGCTGGGTGAAGTGATGGATGGGAAACAGGATAATTTCTCTCCAGGCTTTCTAGTTATACCAAAGAATAAAATGACCCCATTGGAAGAACACAAAGTGTATTTCTCTGCAGTCTGACAAGGGCAGTGGTCGACAAACTGCAGCTCAAGAGCCACATGTGGCTCTTTGGTGCCTTGAATCTGGCTCTTCCACAAAATACCAAGTGTGAGCACGCACGTACAGGGAGATTGAAATTTCATGGCCCATGCACAGAAGTTGGTTTTCGGCCTGGGAGAGTCTATTTTGAAGAAGTGGTTCTTACGCCGAGCCACACTCAAGGAGCCAGAGAGCCGCATGTAGCTTGTGAGACACGGTTTGCCGATCACTGGATTAGGGCAAACCTGAACAGATCCGATCGTGCAGACTCATATCCTTCCAGGGCTCCAGGTTGGCCATCCATGCCAGCAGAGCATTAGACAGCAATCCATGCCTAGTGCACTCCATCTCTGTGACCTCTCAGCCATGACTGCCTGCTTCTCTTTTGTTCCTTTCCCCAGGAAAGGCAGATCCCTAGGCTCCTTTCCAGAGAGCAGGCTGAGAACCTCAGGCAGAGCCTGTGTCCCTGGGAGCTGTCTCTTGGGGTCTGTTGCTAACCTTTTCTCCCAGGCCCAGGCAATACAGAGAAAGCTTAGAGGCCTACACTGAAATGGGTTTGCTTACTTAGTAACACGGAACTCGAGTCTAGTAATCACTTTTCTGAAATATGCCTTAAATAGCATGTGTGCAAAGTCCAGAGTGCTTGCTTGTGGAGAAGATCAGAAATGCTGGGCTGGACACAGTGCCCAGTGGAAGGGGCTTAGAACTCTAAAATCTGGTCTAAATTTAGAGTTTGGATGTTTGCACTTTCATCCATACTCCTCTTAATCATATGGCAGCTATTGCTACCATTGCCAACTGCTGACTCTTCCTGCCTAAGCCAGGTGGTCTCTCTGCTACATTAATTAGCTTGTTGGCCAATGTCGTTCTGTTGATTGAGCTTTGTCCTGAGCACCAAAAGGGGTAGGTCCCTAGTCAAGGAATGTGTAGGAGGTAACCAACTGATGTTTCTTTTTCTCCCTTCCTCTCTCTCTCTCTCTAAAAAAAATAAAAATCAATAAAAACATAAAAATTAGCTAGTCTGCCTTTGTATATGGAATCTGTGAGACCATATACCTTAAGGCATGTGAATTCTGTAGCAGATGATGATACTCTACAAAGCCCTAACCATGCTCATACTGTCTGCCCAGCTTGGAGATTTCTACTGGGGTCAGCCAGAGCCAGCTAACCAAGCCTCCAAACACACAGTACAAATCCAGGAAGGCTGTACTGTGACTGGCCACCAGGGAGCAATCTCACACAGCAAAGCTGCAGTCTTCTGAGCTCTGGGGAAAGTAGGCGGCTGTCACTTTCTTCCCCCAGGACTAGTTTTCTCAGATTAGGAAGGGAATGAACAAAAATTATGGTCCAGATTAACATCGATTATAAAATACAAGAGGGCATGCATCCTAGGGGGTGAAGACATAACTGTGTCCACAATCAAATCCTTCCCAGCATGTCAGAATGGGAGAAGCAATGAAAGGACCCACAGAGTCCTACTCTGGTTTTTAGCATATTTTAAAATGAATTTATTTACATAGTAACATGATGTCACAGAGAACACAGCCAAGTACCACAGCAAACCAAAGGGCAGCACCACCTGGTGACAGAAGGGGGCTTTCAGTGGTAGATTTATACAATTCTAAAATAAGTAGAAAGGTGAGGCTTCAGGAAAGAGCAATAGAAACAACATTTTCAAATATAAAGTATAGGCAGAGCAATGGGGGGTGAAAAAGATTGGAATGCAGACTGTCATGATTCAAATTACTGTGAAAGACGACATCTTGCTTCTGCCCTGATGTCGCACACAAATGCCATGCATATCAATAGAAAGTCCCAAACCAGTGTGTCCACACACAGCATTCTTTAAACTTGGTAAGGGAAGGGATAAATGACTGGTATCTGGAGTAAGTTTTCTGAAGCAGTGTGGTATATCTTTTAAAAATGCTAACCTAAAGACTAGGGCTCATTCAGCATTCAAGTTATCATGGATACAGACACATACACTTTCCACACACCATTAGGGCAAAGTGACTTGTTCATAATACAATAATATTCATAGCAAAATATATGACTCTCTACTTCTGCTACATTAAAAAATTTCCAACCTTTTTTGATTCCCTGAAAGTTTCTTAAAGAAAACATGGATGTCGGAATGCAGGCCCCTGCAGTCCACCTAGGTGGCTGATGCAAAAACGTATTCTAATTTCAAACAGCGGCAGAGAGGATGTGTTTAACAGCTGTATAGCACCTTGTACATTCTGGGCACTTAAAATACTAAATAACAGTGATGATGAGTGGTAATCACCTCTGTAGGAAGGTTTATAAAAGCTATAATATGTTAAGAAATTTCTCAAGAGTTTTTTAAACCAGCCTATTGAAACTACCATCTCCTTTAAAAAAAACTCTCAGCCTCAGTATCACATGGATATGAATGATGTTTCCAGGCTGAAGTTCATGCAAGACACAGTCATGACAAGGGGAGAGGGAATAGTTTCTTCTCCTTAAATACTAAGGAACTTCATAGGCTGCCCAATGCTTTCCTCCGTATCAGCTCCTTCCTCTTTTTGCCCCCTAACATACAACATGACTTGTAAAAAAGATTCTTTGAGGATGGATTGCTTTATTAGCCAAATACCTTCGATGTATGTGAATTCTCCTTCCATTGCATGCCATAACTCAACCTCATCACTTCAGAAACATCAGGACAAAAAGACCCAAAATAAAAAATCTTTGGTACAATTTCTATGTAGCCTCTGCACTGCAGCTCTTTTGCTTCCTTCATGGCACATTTATGGAATCCCCACTTTTGGCGCTGCTGTAAGAATGGACAGCTTAACCTGGGTGCAGACTTCAGGAAGAGCAGCACTTGAATTTGTCTTGGAACAGCACTTTGGGCCTTTGAGAATATGAACTTCAATGAGGTAAATCTAATAACCCGGTTTCGTGGGCAGCCATTCTGTTCACTCATTAGGCTGGGCCAGAATTTTCAAACCTTTATCAACTAGTGAGGGGAATAAAAACATGTCAGACTTAGCCTAGGGAGTCAAGTTCCCCTCTTCCCTCTCCAAGTACATTCATACTTTATTTATACATCTAGAAAAATTTGGGATATAGTATCATAAGCCCATTCCAATTTCTAAGACTAAGCTGTATTTTTTTCCCTCCAGATCACTTCTGGTAAAATCTAGAGGGAAATTCTAGTAGCAGGTTACTTCCTAGCACCAAAGTATTCTTAATACCAATTTGGGAAGATGAGCGCAATCCTTCTATATCCTACTAGGCTTCAAAGATCTTTTATAGGAATCCTGTAACACTAAAAACTGAAATACAATTTTAGGTAGTTTTACTCCCAGATATTTTATGAATATTTCTAGAGATTTAACTCTCAAACTTATTCTGAATTTGGAAACAAAACTGATCTTCACTTAAATCTACAATGAAAAGCTACTCAGACTCTTAAAATCCTAACAAATCTATTTTAATTTTAGGTCCCTAACATCAGTAGTGTGAGAGTTTGTGTCCCCTTCTATACCTGACCCAGTTCATTTTCAGAGGGCAAAACTTGAAACCCAAGGCCATACTCCTGCCTTCCAATTTTAACTTAGCTAGGGATTGGTGGACCTATTCATGATTCTTTTTTTTTTTTTTTAAACCCTCACTCAACGATATTTTTTCCATTGATTTTTAGAGAGTGAAAGGGAGAAGAGAGAGACACATTGATTGGCTGCCTCCTGCACACACCCCCGGGAATTGAACCTGTGACCCTTTGGTCTGCAGGCTGATGTTCTAACCACTGAGCACAAACACCCAGGGCTCATGATTCTTCAGTGTTGATTCCACATATTACAACTGCTCTTTTCCCCATCCTGCTGTTCTTCATGAACTAGTGCCTGGGCATCGCATTACTGTGCATATACCAAAGGGGCTCTTCTCAGACTAGCATGGGAGATCTCTCGTAGTCCTAGTCCTTTGTGGGACATCTGCTTCTCTTCCTTCCTGGACTGGGTTATCACTCTGCTATACATTCAGTTTTGGTCTTGGCTATTCCAGCCATTGTCCTGTTGCTCCAGCACCAAAATGTGTCAGAGAGATTGTTCTTGCTCATGTGGCTTAAGGAAAAGTTTCAATAGCAGCTTTATTGTCTGAACTCTCAAAATAAATGGAAGAAACTATAGTATAGACTTCAGTAGAAAAGAAAGTAAATTTCCAATCACTATTAAAGACTTGAAGTACTTAAAAAACTTAAAGTGCTATACTTGTTACAGTCCCAAACTCATACTAGTACTGTCTGTGTCTGAGAATAGGGTTTCTTTTCTCTGATGAATTCAGAGTTCCTATTACAATTAAAGTAGAAATGCATTATTTGAGATACTAGATTAACTGAATTACATTATTTTGGAAAAATAGTCTGAGGATCAATGTTGAGTACTTTTTGCCCAGACATAAGTTACTTTGTCTGTTTGGTTCTAACCTGTAACACCACCTTCCCTTTTCACCCTCACATTGTTCTGCCATCACTCAGAGAAAATTAATGTAGCCCCTTGTCTCTGAGAAGCCTGAGGCCCTTCTATGATAGTTGGCATTTATCTTTTATACTTAACAAATCTGAATATAAAAACAGTACTAAATATCTGATATAAAGGGGTGCCATTGTTATATTATAATGATAGAGGGTGTCCATGCTTATTGTACTACAGAGTTAAAATGAGGAAGACTGGATCCAAGTCAAAACAGAAAGAAAAAGAAAAGAGAAGAAAAAATACTTAGAGAACAGGTTGGGGAACTAGGAGACTTTTGTCATTAAATAGGAAATCTCATTAAGTAGTCAACATTAAAATTTACATGGGCAAGGCACAAGAGTGACATTGAGAAAGTGTCTCAATATGCAAATCATCAGGGAATGGGGTTAGGGGGAAGGAGGCTGGGAAGGGAATGTGCTGGTTGACACGGTCAGTGGTCGGCATGCTGCTACGTCAGTGTATAATTAGGCAAGGAGTTATGTGCATGTGGCCATGCTTAAGTGAACCAAACCCCAGTCTATGAGGCAAAGCACAGCCATGCCGCAGGACAGGAGTGGACTGCTAGCCTGCAGTGGCATGCCCTCTCTGTGGCCATTTTTAGGGGGCAGAGCCCTGCACTCCGACTAGAGGAGGCAACACTCATTGTGAGCCACCTAGCTCTCTCCTTTTGGAGTCCTGTACTGCTGGCAGGAGAACATGGACAGCCTACAAATAGAGCTCCATGCCCCATTATCTTAAAAGAAGGAGGAGGAGGAGGAGAAAAAGAAGAACAATAAAATACATTCTTTTCTGTTCTTGACACTCTTTGATATAGGTGAATCACATGAAAGGCTGTTAAAATGTTAAAAACATAAATTTTAAAAGGCAACTAATGTGCTATCTAATACTGCACAGCTATTACTGACTTTAAGAAACCCTACACTAGGAGTTGAGGGTCCCAAAAGCTCTGTCACTGACAGGATGCAGAGAACATGTCTATCAAGGCTGCCACAGGTTGTTCTCCCAGAAGCCAGGCCCCTCTCTACTTCTATCATGCATGTGCACACACATAGGCACACATGTGTATGGATACTCACATTGTCCAAGTGACTTCTGGGATTGCAAGACTGAAATAAACAGATACTTCTAGTTTTGAATAAAACAAGCATACACACACTCACACCCTCCCATGGAAGGTGTCTCTTAGCGCAAATATGTGCCGGGGAAGAAGAGAAAGATTTCTATAGATTCTGCTTCACGTAAAGCTGCAACATAAATACTGTAATACACAGCTAAAAAAATACATATAAAAATTGCACATTTATCCATAGGAAAGGAGCATAGACCTCACATACTGTAAACAGCTTTCAGCCACACCCCTCAGCAATAAAAATTCCCTGTCAGCTGTGCTCCAGAACCGTTTCAGAATCATAAGGAGCAATGTGCCAGGGCAACTGTTAGGCAGTCTCTCCAGAAAAGGTCAGCATCCTGAGGTGGTCAGCAGCAGTCTTATCCGTGACCTTCTTCCCTTCTCCTGCCTCTGGCAATTATAATAGCCATCTGTGCCATGCCCTCTAAGGAAATTTTGTAGGTGGACCGACAACTGTTTCATTCAGGGCAGTTATCTATAGTATTTGGTAGACTAGTTAATACTGGTTACTGATAGAAGGAAGCTGGCCAATTAATGCTTGAGAAAAAAAGCTATAATCTGGGCACCACTAGCCCTGGCTGTCAACTTTGACAGTAATCAAAGAACAGTACTTTAAACTCTATTCTTCAATGGTCCCTAGAGAACTGCACATGCAGAAAAATCATCTCCTTCTGTATTGCCAGCTCTTTACAAGATCTAAACTGCACTCCACTCTGATGAGGAATGGGTGACAGCACTGTGGGTCAGCTCTGTAATTAACCACAGTGGCCAATAAACCCCAACTTCATTGGCAACTGGGGGCAGAGTAGTGGTGAAGGAGAATCAGGCAGTAGCAGCAGAGGGGAAATTGTTAGGGCCATCCTTCATGCAGTATACCTCCTTATTGATAATAGAAATGAAAATGGGTCCATGATCCAAGGGCTGGGTTCTCTCCTTGTCCTTCTACTCTCCACTGGAACAAAGAATATAGTCCTAGGAACCAAAATTGGGTAGACACTAAGGATGGCAGTTCTGCCTGGTAATGGAGGGAAAAAGTATGCTGTGAGAGCTTAGTGCATGATAGTAAGAATTGGCCAAATCTATCTACTGCTAGAGAGAATAAATACTTGATGTTAAAAAGACAGGTAAAATTCAGAATTATGGAGCAACTGGATATAACTTACTGAGTTTATACCAAAGGAGCTGTCCTTTCAAAAATGTTCATTTTCATTTTTTATCTGCATTTGCGTTATAATTAGGGTGAACAGTGCTCCAATGGAAAATAAGCTGAATGTTTGTGCAGTTGAAATTCTGTGAAGTTAAGACAGACTCAGCTTATTACTTGATTTGAAGCTGTGGATAACCTTCTGAGTAAATGCATTTGTTCGTGGACAGGAATGAACAGTTTGTCTCTTTTCTTTCCTTGAATTCTGTGTACTAGGAAGTGAAAGTGTGTGGGTGACTTGAAGAAGGAGAAAATAAAATAAAAGCAGCAACCAGGATACATTAACGGTGTTGCAGGATTTTTACAATACAACTGAGGGAATCTGGAGTGGCAAAAGCCAAATACTGAGCACATAACCAGTCCTCAAGGCTGATCCCACCCACTCTATCCAGGGACTTTTCAGCAAACTTGATCATCAGCAATGTTCGCTTGATGTCCAGCCAGTTTTGGAGCAGGGCATTCCTCTGCACTGGGCTGGAGGCAGTGGTGAAAGCCTGGAAGAGATCTTCCCGGGGGCCCCAGAGCAGACACTGGAGGATACCTCTAGCATCTGAAATGAGAATACGCTCAGAAGGGTTGGGGTTTAGGAGGCAGCTGGCCAGCTGCTGAAGGCCCCAAGAATAAGGAGAGCGGAGTGGGATTTGAGGCAGATCTGCTCGAGTGTACTCCTTCTCCTTCAGTTCTGGGTTCTCATCAAACGGGTTGGGCAGGTGTAGCATCTCATAGATGAGGATCCCTGTCTGGAACTCATCACACTTTTTGTACTGGGTGGCTGTTATGATCTCTGGGGCAAGGCGGGACTGGTCACGGAGGATCTCAGGATCCACCAGGTGGCTCTTCTGCTTGGCCTGAGAGAAGTTGCTTACTATAAGCCTTGTGAGACAAGATGAGGTGGGATTAAGTTCTTTAGGCCCAAGGCCCTGGTTGGTTCCCCCTAGCTGGTAGTGGACAAGCAGCAGGTTTTCCAGACGTAGATCGCAGTGAGTGACGTGGTAGGGTTTGAGGTGTTCAAGGCCGGAGCACAGCTGTAACAGCAGCAAACACACTTGCCTCTCATACAAATCAGGGCTTTTCCCATGCTGGATTAGAGAGTCCTGCACAAAATCAGCCACGGTGAGATAGGGGACTTCTCTGGTGATGACTACAACGTGACTTCTCTGCTTCTTGCTAGTGACTCCCTCGTTTTCTTTCTGGGATGACTCTATTTCAAAGCAGGACTCTGGGCTTTTCCCACCAATTTCTTCTTTCATTTCTTCTTCATTCTCCTGTATTTCATTCTCTTCCTCTTCAGGGGCATCAGGATCCTCCCAGGGAAGCAGACGCTTAGGGACTTCAGCAAGGAAATGACCACAGTCCTGTTGGATATTAAAATGGACGGCCAGACTCTGCCGAACAGCTAAGCTGTGATAATACTGCTGAGATTCTTTAGCTTTGCTCTTGCAGATCTGAAAAAAGAAAGCAAATAATACAATTTAAAATATACACACTTTCATAACCAGGCTTACTATGTGTAAAGGAGGATTAATGGGAAGGTGACTGGTTAGGAATTAAGTGTTATAGTGCAGTCTTCAGAAAGGGTAGTCCTGTACTGAATGATAGTAATAATGACTGTCTACAAGCTTAGTACTTTATGTGTATTATCTACATCCTCTCCAATCTGTGACCCCTTGAGGGATGTCCGACTGTCCGTTTAAATGGGCAGTCGGACATTCCTCTCATAATCCAGGACTGGCTCCCAACTGCTTGCCTGCTTCTGCCTGATTGCCCCTAGCCACTTTTGCCTACAATCCTGATCACCCCCTAACCACCTCCTGCCAGCCTGTTCGACATCTAATTGCTCCCTGGCCGGCCCGATTGCCCCTAACTGCCCTCCCATGCTGGCCCAATCATCCCTAACTGCCCATCCCTGCAGGCCTGGTCACTCCTAACTTCCCTCCTCTGCAGGCCTGGCTCCCCCACAACTGTCCACCCCTGTAGGCCTGGGCCCCTCTCCCTCCAACTGTCCTCCCCTTTAGGCCGGGTCCTCCCCTTCCAACTGTCCTACATTGCAGGCCTGGTCCCCTCCCCAACTGCCCTCCTTTGCGGGCCTGGTCACCCCTAACTGCTCACAACTGCCTTCCCCTGAAGACCATCTTGTGGCAGCTATCTTGTGTTCACATGGGGGCAGCCATGTTTGAACACACGGGGGTGGCCATCTTGTGTCTTGGAGTGACAGTCAATTTGCATATTACTTTTATTAAATAGAATTAATCATGCTCTATTAACCATGTTTGTTCTGTTCTGATTAGAGAAAGCACATTCTAACCTGGCTGAGAGTTTTATGCCCTGGAACATGTGAGCTAACATCAAAATGCAGTCCATCCTCCTTTTCTGAGAACTGCCTATCATTATGGGAAGATTTATAACCTCATGGCTGAAACAATCTGGTCCTGGAGGCACCCACCCTCTGTACCCTCCCCTCCAGCCCACATACCGTGTAATTCCTACTTTCCCACATAATCTCTGTCCTTCCACCCAATATAAGCAGCTGGATTATGGGGAGGGGTAAAACAGATTGGTGGTCAGTACACGTCATAATTACAGGTCAGAATGTCTGCCCCTGGTGATCATTGAGTGTTGGACATTTGGACGATCACTTAGTCTTTTATATATATATATATGTTTATAGTAGTCAAGATATGAATGCAACCCAAATGCCCACCAATATGGATAAAGAAGTGGGACATATGTACAATGGATTATTACTTAGCTATAAAAAAGAATGATGACATGATTGGACCTAAAGGGTGTTTTGCTAAATGAAATGTGTCAGACAGGAAAAGGATTGTTTTGTTCTGATTAAAGAAAGCACATTCTAACCTGACTGGGAATTGCTGAAGGACCTGGGAGCTCACCTGGAAATGCGGCCCATACTCCCCATCAGGGAGTTGCCTATTATGAATGGAAAGATTAACAACCATGTTGCAGAAACCAGAGGCACCAGCCATTTGCAAACCCCAGCCCACACTGTCTATAAACTGTAACCATTATACCCATTTTGCATACTATTCTTAATCCTTTTGCCTATTTCACCATGTAATCTTTGTCTTTGTACCTCATATATGCAGATGGCTTACAGGGGTGGAGAGCAGATTTCTGTGGATGACCTGCTGCACTCCCATACTGCAGGCATTACTGGAATAAATGCTCATATATGATTCAACCCTGTTTCTGCTAAATTGGCTCAAGTAGTGGCAGGCAGCCCACCAGTTTCACAACCACTGAGCAAAACTGTTCAGGTGTAAGAGAACTTTGGACAAACTTTTCTTCATTAGCATACTAAAAATCATGAACATGGGTGGAGATTCAACATTAAAATTAACATACTTTGAGATGTATAGCTAGGTGTGTTCCAAGAACATTTAAGAACTGTACATGATGTTTTGCAATCTGAAAATTCTCTACCCTTTCTCAGGAACCTAAACCCGCCTATCTTCCCTATCCCCAGCCTATAAGACTTTCCTAATTCCCCCAATTCAGGGAGAAAATATCATAGTTAATCCTCCATTCTTTGGCCAAAGAATAAAGTTTCTGACTTGCTTTATCAAATACTGTCTCATCCTATTGGTGTGAGCAACACCAGGTAAAAGGACCACAATCTACAGTATGTGGCCCTTAGGAGTCAGTGAAAATCACTTTGTAAGGCATATAAAAGTTTAATCACCTGTTGTACAGCTGAAACAAATTAATATTGTATTCAACTGTAATTGAAAAATAAATTTACAAAAGAAAGCCATACTAGTTAGCCTATTCTAGATTCCTTTGGTATGGGAGGGCATATCTTAATACATTGCAGACAGATCACGAGAATTCTCGTTTCGTATTACACAGTGTTTTACAAAGTATCATACTTTAAAAAGATATCAGCTTGTAAGAACATGTAATAAATAACTTCAAAATACAATGGGTATTTAATTTTAAAGTGTGTCTTTAACATTTTTTGTACTCATTCAATAGAAACTTATCTGGCCACTGGATAAAGCTAGCAATAAAACTACTGGTCCACATGTGTTAAGAAGACAAACAATAAAAAGTTGTGTGAGCCAACCACTAGTCTGTTTTGTTTATCTCTGCAAAAGAAGAGCTCACAGTGTCCTAGTAGTTTCTCTCTCTAGGGTTGTTGAGTTTTGGCCCAAATAGTTTTCAATGAGACATTACATTCACCATTTAGTGTAAGACATTATTTTCCAAATATGTCTTACATATGTACCCGCATATCACCACTTGCCACCTGTTTTTTGGACATTGCTCTTGCATCATTATAAGCAGAGATATATACCAGATCATTCATTTGGGAAAAAGACAAGACTGCATTGCAATAATACATAAGTTAGTCCAGCCCTACTTCTCAATTGTTTTAAAATAACACATGTTCCTTTCTGAAATAGGTACTTTGTCTTATAGCAACAAAGGCCCAAGATAGATGAGGCCCCTTATAATAGCTCTTAAAAAAAAAAAAATATATATATATATATATACATATACATATACATACATATATATATACATATACATACACACACACACACACACACACACACACACACACACACACATATATATATATATATATATATATATATATATATATATTCTATATAATAAAAGTTTAATAGGCAAATTGTCCCCTCAGGAGTTTGACCGATTAGGAGTTTGACTGCCCACTATGACATGCACTGACCACCTGGGGGTGACACAGAATGAAGGAAGGCCCCAGCCAGTAGCTGGCAGCCGGCAGCTGGGGGAAGGAAGGCCCTGATTAGCCCTAATTGCCGGCCAGGCCTAGAAACCCTACTCATGCATGAATTTTGTGCACAGTACCTCTAGTATATGTATGTGTGTGTGTGTGTGTGTGTGTGTGTGTGTGTGTGTGTATATATATATATATATATATATATATATATATTAGAAGTATATATATGTTTATTGATTTCAGAGAGAAGAAGGGAGAGAAAGAGATAGGAACATCAATGATGAAAGAGAATCAATGATCAACTGTCCCTTGAAAGCCCCCTACTGGGGATCTAGTCTGAAACCCGGGTACGTGCCCTGACCACTGGGAATCAAACCAATGACCTATTTCAGAGCTCAATGCTCAACCTCTGAGCCAAACTGGCTGGGCTATAATAGCTCTTGAGTGCTATCCAGAATCTCAAAATGCCTTTTCAGATACCATAGTAATATGTTAACTTGAATCCAGATTCTCTCTCTATAGTTTACCTCTCAGTTTAAAAAGTGTGGGTCAAGACCCAGAGTCACCCTGTCATTGGCACCAGACAGTTCCAAGGTGTAGGTGCTACTATTGCAGATGACAGCTAGTTAAAAGCCTAGTCCAGGTGTACATTCTGTCTTGACAGACAGAGAAGGCCAGTAACTTAGATATTAGTTTACTAAGACACCATCTAGTCTTTCTAAGCTAAATTATCGCTCAGAAGTCATTTGGGTATGTTAACTGATTTTGAACCAGTGTATAGAATCAGTAAAAACGAATTATGGAAATATAGAACTTTACCTTGAGTTTACATAGAACTTGTGTTTTTAAAAACTCTCACATGCATTATCTCACTTGACAATAACATCAGTCCCACAAAGTAGATGTATTATCACTGAAAACACTTGAAAGATAAAAAACTGAGGCTCACTACTGCCACTCTATTAAAGTAACATCTGAAGAAACTAAGAGACAGTCAAAGAAATAAGCACTCATCAGGAACATTTTGTTCTCTTTTAGCCAAACAGTACTATAAATACCATTACTATCCCTTTTTAAAGCTGAGGAAGTTTAAAGCTGAGGAAGTTAAAGAGTAGCAACTTGTGATAAAGCTACTAAGTGGCAGAGCCAGGATCTGAACCCAGATCTTTTGGACCACAAAGACCATGCTTTATTTATTACAAGATGAAGCCTTAGACAGTAAATTTGTTTCAGTGAATGTAATAGGACAAGAATGCTTGATGTTGAGTTTTAGCCCTTTTAAAAGTGGGTTGTCTGGAATGAGCAATATACATTATGAAATTAATATGTGACATAATGGACAAAGTATAGACCGTGGAGTCAGAGAGATTGGTAATTAAGTGCAGCTTTACTAATTTCTAGCTGTGTGAGCTTAAGAAAATTAGATCACCACTCTGAGCTTTATTTTCCTCATCTGACAAATGGATAAAAACAATCTTAACTTCAGAAAAATTGATGTGAAGATTGAATTATAACACTAACACAGTTAATGGCACATTAACAAATATTATCTTCCTTTATAAAAATATTTATGGAGGAAGCAGAGAAGTTTCAGAGCAGGGAAAGACAATGGTCTCTTATTTGCTAGAGAATAAAGAAAAATGGAGTGGAAAGCACGTAATAACAGACTTCATTTGTATAGCAGCCTTAGACTTCTTTGACCTTTAGAGCTTAGGTCCTTCTAAATTCCTAAGAATGGTGTTTACCCTTATCTTATCATTCAGTATCTGTGTTGCAGGCCTGTCTCTTTGTTTTATCCTCTAGATAAGGCTCCTGCTTATTATAATATTTGGTATGAGGTAGATGCTCAAAAACCTTTGCTGATGGGAAGAATGGAAGAAAGAGCAAAGCCATCCCAATAAAAGTGTGTTGAAGATTAGAATCAGATTTATATTTTCTTACCTTGACTGCGTAACTACTAAGTGGATCTTTTGCATATGAAGCTGTGTAGTAAACTGCATCACCTGCCTCACAACATGGCTTGTCACTGGTTAGCCTGAAGTCTGACCAGCTGTCCATCCCAAAACGGAGTTTGTCTTTCTGCCCAGCCATAAAGAGGTCTTCACATTTAATAGCCAATTTCTTTAAGGCATCTGTATGAAGGCTTCGGATTTTTCCCACCACTTCTTCCCGATTCTCAAGTCCTCGATAAAGTGCATGTCTCTGTGGCTTCAGGATGCCTTGGCCCTGTCTCCAAGAGGGACCTCGTTGACTGGACAGGGACTCCATACTGTTGGAAAACCTATCCTTAATATTGAGAGTGGTTAAACTGGAGATGCTGTTTGCTGCTGGTCGCTCCTTCTGTAAAGGTCTCTCTAAGGATTCGTAAGATTCAGTGTCCAGTCCCTTGAGTTCATAACTGATGGAAGAGCCAGCACTGCTGGCATCCCAGTTGGGATCGATATCATAGGTGGGATTAGCCATGACACAAAGACTAGTTTCCATGAATTTTTGGAGGTCTTTGGAGATTGGCTCTGTGTTGGCTCTTAAGATCATTTTCTTTGGCAGTGGGGGTGGTTCAGCTTGGGAAGCATTAGGTGCTTCTTGGTCTGTTTTCCCACCAAAGGTTATGGCATCATCCAAAGTCCCCTTAGGCTGCCGTGGATGCTTGGGAGGTATCATAGCTGCTCTAGATTGCCCTGAATTGTTTTAAAACAAACAAAGAAAAAAGAATAAGTAAACTTTTCATTACTGTTACATAATTAAAACTTAAGCAAAAAGAAGTACCCTAAGAATATAAAAAGTCAATGTCTTAATTTAAAATAATAGAATAACGCAACCAAATAAGCAACTGGTTAAATATTAAAGGCAGAGCTCAATTCTTGGTGGGAGCAATAAATGTGAATAATGTCTCAGTATTACTGTGTGAGAGGAATAGGGTGATGGTCTTTGTTTTAAAAAAGGAATCCAGATTCTCCACTCCTGCACCCAAGAGTGCTGTATTTACCTAGGATACTAAGGAGTCAAAGACACTAAAATAATTGCATTGTGGAAGAGTAGATAATAGAATTTATAAGTAAAATAATACTGGGGAGCATTATTAAAAACAATTGAAACTATCAAGGAGACCTCTAAACTGGTGCTCAGAAGATAGTAATCTGTACTTTCAACTTTGTCCCAAAGTTATCTTATGTTCTGTACACTTGTCATTTTTAATCTAACACATATGAATACAATTTCATAAACCACGTTCTTTTATTTCAGTACAGTGATGGATTCTGGTACTGCTTAAACTGGTCTATGTATAAGAGTCCAGTGATTGTGGTATATATAAGCAATCAACAGCTGTTCCAAATGTCATTCACACACTCTTATGTAATTCTGTTTTATTGGGGAGAGGGGGAGACCATAAACTGTGATTTGAAAGATGCTACTTTTGAACATGTCTGACAAGTCCTAGTTACAGAACCAATCATTTCTGATTTCTTTCCAACATTTATGCTTAGAAGAAGGTAAAACAGACATGTGTGATCAATGACATCTTTGGAGCTTATTGTATACGGGAGAAGGAGCATTATCATTTTTTAAGACAGAAATATACCATGAAACTTTCATTAAAAACTATTAAAATTAGTAATGTTACTAAAGCCTCAACTTAATATCTCATAGTTAGAGCATAGTGCTATATTACAGGTTTAATTATGTCTCTTCTCTCAAAATATGTTGAAATCCTAATACCTGGTACCTGTGAATGTAACCTCATTTGGAAATAGAGTACTTTTAGAGGTAATGAAATTAAGATGAGGTCATTACAGTGAGTCCCAATCCAATATGACTGGTATCCTTATAAGAGGCAAAATGATAGATGAAAATAGACACATAGGGAGAACACTAGTAATGATAGAAGCAGAAATTGGAGTAATTTATCTGCAAGCCAAGAACTCCAAAGATTGATGGCTACCACAAGATACTAGGAAGAGATAAAGGATTCTACCCAGAGTCCTAGCGGGAACATGGCCTTGAAAGCACCTTGATTTCAGACTCCTAGCTCCAGAACTGTGAGAGAATAAATTCCTCTTATTTTAGGCGACTCAGTTTGTGGTACTTTGTTACAGCAGTCCTATGAAACTAATACATGTTCTTACTGATGATCAGACAGAATAGAAAGCACTGATGGTCCTAGGATGATAATGAACTAAAATGGTGGTTTGGCCGAAACCGGTTTGGCTCAGTGGATAGAGCGTCAGTCTGCGGACTCAAGGGTACCAGGTTCGATTCCAGTCAAGGGTATGTACCTTGATTGCGGGCACATCCCCAGTAGGGGGTGTGCAGGAGGCAGCTGGTTGATGTTTCTCTCTCATCGATGTTTCTAGATCTCTATCCCTCTCTCTGTAAAAAAAATCAATAAGACAAAAATTATGAACAAGAAATACATAACTATCAACAAGTGAGTCTAAAAACCAAAGGAATTAAAAAATCTGATGAACAGTATTAACTGGTGAATATAATAGAATCAGAGGTATAGAAAGAGAGTGGACTGACGATTCTCAGGGAAAAGGGGAATGGGGGGTGTGGGAAGAGACTGAACAAAAATTGTACACCTATGGATGAGGACAATGGGGGGTGGGAAAAGGGCAGAGGGTGGGGTAGGAACCTGGTGGAGAGGAGCAATGGAGGGAAAAAAGAGGAACAATTGTAATAATCTGAACAATAAAGATTTATTAAAAAAATAAAATAAGAGAGGAAACCAAGATGATGGCATAGGTAACCGCCTAACTGCAGCCCCACACAACAATTTCAAAAAATACAACTAAAATATAAAGTGGACATTATACAGAACTATAATTGACTGGCTGGAAATTCTACAACGAGAAGGAAAGAGAAAACCAGAAGGAAAATGAGAGGAGCTGTAAAAGCCTAAGGTACGGAGACACGTTGCATGTGCTGAGAGGACAGAGCCAGAGAGGAGGGGGAGGTTGAGTGCCTGGCTGGTGTTCCCTAGTGGGAAGGAGATAAAAGCTCCGGACTGTGCTGAACCCCAGTTCCGACAGCACTGAACCCAAATTCTGGGGGAGACCCTCGGGCCCCAGGCTCATACAGAGGGAATCTGGGCTGTAAGGAGGAAGCTCAGGGGAGCGGCGAAAGGCAGAGCCCCGGAGTTGCACACATTGCGCGCAGAAGACAGACTGCTGACTGTGCCGCGGGATTGCCCTAGCTGGAAGGAGACATAAGCTCCGGATTGCTCTTAACCCCACTTCCAACTGCACTGAACCCCAGTTGCGGGCTAAATGGGGGAGAGACTAGACTGTCTGGTAGTGGGTGAAACTCCTTTCTCTCAGAGGTGCTTGCAGCGAGTACCAAAGGACACTGAGGAACACTGAGACTCAGGAACCTCATAGGGCGGGGCTGACAGGAAGCCAAGGTTGTAGGCTCCACCCTGAAACTCCCCTCCATCCAAGCTAAGCACAGAGGCTCTTGCAGTTTTCCAAGTCTAGTCGAATAAGGCTGTCTCCTGGCACAGATACAACTGATCCTCCCACCCTACCAACTCAGGGAAGCAGCGAAAATGCCGAGACAAAAAAACAGATCACAAACGAAAGAAATGGAGGACAAAAAGCGACTGGATTTAGAGTTCAAAACCATGCTTATAAGGTTTTTCAAGAATCTCCTAGAAAAGGCCGATAAAATAAACAAGACCTATGAAGATATGAAAAGGGATCAACTAGAAATAATAAAAGATCAACTAGAAATAATAAGGGATCAACAAGAAATAAAGAATACATTCTCTGAAATAAAAAATATTATACAGAGTCCTAAAAACAGAATGGAATATCACAAGAATCAAGTCAAAGATTTGGAACATAAAGAGCCAGAGGACACTCCTCCGGCAGAAGCAAGAAGACAAGAAAATCCAGAAAGTTGAAGATAATGTAAGAAATCTCTGGGACAACTGCAAGCGAACCAACATCAGAATTATGGGGGGTCCCAGAAGAGAGAGAGCAAGATATTGAAAACATATTGGAAGAAATCGTGACAGAAAACTTTATTTAAAAATAAAATAAAATAAAATGGTGGTTTGTTTAATTAAAAATATGTCCTTGTAGCAATGCCAAAGGTAAGCACCAATATAAACTGTTATTGTAATAACAATATATTTCACTTCCTATGCATGCAACTCTGCTCAAGAATTTAAGAGTTTATACAAACTACTAAATGCCCGGTGCATGAAATTTGTGTACGGAGGTGTGTGTCCCTCAGCCCAGCCTGCACCCTCTACAATCTGGGACCCTTCTCACAATCCAGGACTGCTGGCTCCCAACTGCTTGCCTGCCTGCCTTCCTGATTGCCCCTAACTGCTTCTGCCTGATAGCCTGATCACCCCCTATCCACTCCCATGCCAGCCTGATTGATGTTTAACTGCTCCCCTGCCAGCCTGTTTGCCCCCAACTTCCTTCCTCTGCCGGCCTGGTCACCCCTAACTGCCCTCCCTTCAGGGTTGATCACTCCCAACTGCCCTCCCTTGCAGGCCTGGTGCCTCCCAACTGCCATCCCCTGCTGGCCATCTTGTCGTGGCCATCTTGTGTCCACATGGGGGCACCCATCTTGATCTTGTGTGTTGGAGTGATGGTCAACCTGCATATTACTCTTTTATTAGATAGGCTAGAGGCCTGGTGCATGGGTGGGAGCCAGCTGGTTTGCCCTGAAGGGTGTCCCAGATCAGGGTGGGGGTTCCCTTGGGGTGTGGGACAGCCTTGGTGAGGGGCCTGTGGTGGTTTGCAGGCTGCCCCCTCCCCCCCCCCCCCCCCCAAGTGGAGGCCCTGGTATCGGGGATTTATTTATCTTCTACAATTGAAACTTTGTAGCCTAGAGCAGAGCCAAGCCTTCTGCTCACTCCGGGATGGCAGCCATTTCTGTTGGGATCTATTTATGTTATATAATTGAAACTTTGTAGCCTTATAGGAGGCCTGGGCCAGCTAAGGCAGGCGGAAAGCTTGGCTTCCTCTGAGGATACCCAAGCCTCCCTCCTGCTCTCAAAGTGGCTGCAGCCACCTTGGTTGGGTTAATTTGCATACTCATTCCATATTGTCTGGTGGGCATGGCTGGTGTGTGTAGCAGAGTGGTAATTAATTTACATATTAGTCTTTTATTAGATAGGATGGCATTTGCACTTACCTAAGTTGCTGTATATTGCACTACAGGGATTCAGGTCTGTAGGATCTGAAATGTCTTCTTTTTCCTCTTCCCTTTCCAGTTCAGGTAGGGGCTGTGCTGGTGTGCAGCCTCCACCATCTTGCTTCACAACAACAGTTCTTGGATCCCAAGGAGAAAAATCCTCTGTCACTTCATGGGTCACATGACTGAAATAAATCAGACCACTGTCACAATGGTATTTAAAGGTCTTGCTAACAAAATGAACTGACCAACAAAAAAAGACCCAAAGCATGGAGGGATGGAATAGACTGATATACCTCAATATGGGATGGGAGGATGGGGACAGATAACCAAAAGAACTTATATACAGTGGTGCCTCGCATAAAGAACGCCTCGCACAGCGAACACTGCACACAACGAACTTCATTTCATGATTCATACAACAAACTTCGTTTCACACAACGAAGTCGCCCGAGCTTCCACGACCGCTTTGCCCGAGCTTCCACGACTGCTTCGCCCGAGCTTCCACGATCGCTGCCGATGTATTGCATCCTTCCGCGCAGGCACTGCAGGCAGTCGTCAGTCACTGCGCTTAACTTAAGCACGTATCGCGGCAATCGTTCTTCATTACGAATTAAATCACGCACGTATCACAGCAGTCGTCCTTTTAAGTTAAACTCAATATTTTTTTTATATCATGGCTTCTAAAAAAAGCAGGAAGGTGATTTCTGTTGAAATGAAACAGGACAATGCTCAAAGGGAAGCGTCATCTGATAACGAGGAGCAACAATCAATCAACCAATCCCAACTGCTGACATCAAGAACATCCTGGTCAAATGGAAAGCAGTTCAGGAGTTTACCAATGCCCACTATCCAGATTCAGCTGAAGCAAACAGGATCAACGATCTTTACTCCGATACTCTTGTCCGTTATTTCCGGCAGATGTTGGAGAAAAGAGAAAAACAAACGACTTTGGACAGGTTTTTCATGAAACCATCGGCCAAAAAGCAGAAAATGGATGAAGATGTGCAAGATTCGGTAGACTCTACTTAGTCTGTCTTAAAATTAAAAAAATGTGTGTTTTTTTTTTAAAAAAAATTATGTTTTTAGATGTATCTAAATAAAAATAATAACAAAAAATTTATCTTTTTTTATGTCATCTTAGCATATTTTATGCTACAGAACGAATTATTTTTTTTAACATGTATTGTTATGGGAAAACTCGTTTCACATAACAAACTTTTCGCATAACAAACTTGCTCCTGGAACGAATTAAGTTCGTTGTGTGAGGCACCACTGTATATAGCCCATGGATACAGACAATAGGTTGATGAAGACTTGGGAGGGGGTGTGGATATGGGCTGGTCAGAGAGGGTAGGAAATGGGAGAAATGTGTAATACTGTCAAGAATGAAATAAATGTAACAATATAAATAAATAAAGAATATCTCTACGTCTAAAAAACAAATTAATAAAAATAAAGGTCTTGCTAAAATTTAGATTTATGGATGGCATACACTTGCCATAAATATAAATAACTGGCCCAATAATCCAGCAATGGGTCATAAGCCACAACATGCTTGTGTGAATATAAGGCAGTCCTTCATATAGACTTATACTTCTATTTATCTTGATTCATATGTATTGATCATTCAGTTTGGTAGAGGAAGTATGATAATCTCAGAAGGAAGCTGGAGGATAGCAGGTAAGAACTGGAATACATTTTTTTTAAGGTAGGAGGTGGCAATTACAGTGGTGATAGAGAGAGTTGAATGCTTTATTGATTAAAGACAAATATACTCAAGTATTGAACATATTTGCTATATGATAGTACTACAATATTAAAGTATACATCAAACACTTTACTATTTAGTATATAGAATTTATTGCACATTAAAGTATTTAGTATGATATTCAGTAAAGAATCAGAAATAAAACTGAGATTAGACTACAGGGGAACCTACCTTCTCGAACTTAATTTATTCCCAAAGGCTGTTAGAGAAGTGATTTGTTCAAAAACCAGATTGTTTCTTCCCATTAGAAATAATATAAATATAATTAATCCATTCCAAACCCCTAAATGATTCCCTGTTTTAACCTTTCTTATATACAGTACATAATAGTCTAATGTACTACCAATCTATATATATAAAAAGCCAGTGACCATAATGGCCAAAATGATCATAATGACTGGTAACTATGACGCCACTGTGGGCAGCAAATCAGCCTATCAGGGGGTGGGGCTGGCCAGCCAACCTTGCAGCCCCTCCCTGCTGCCGGCCTGGCCCTGATTGGACTCTCCCATCCCGATAAAGGGTAGGACGGCAAGCCAAATGCCCCTTTCCTTCCCTCCAATGCCAGTCCCACCCCCAATCATCCAGCCCCAGCACAATAGGCCTGCAGCTCCTCCCCTGGCTGGCCCACCCCTGATTGCACCCCCACCCCAATAGGGGGCGGGTATGGCCAGCCAACCTCCTGTACTCCTCCTTCCGCCTGGCCACAACACTGATGAGCCCCCACCACCCTGATTTGCCCACAGCCCCTCCCCCCAGCCAGCCTTGCCCCTGATCACCACCCACCCCAATAGGGGGCAGAGCTGGATGGCCAACCTCCTGCAGCCCCTCCCCCACCCAGCCCAACCCCAAATTGGCCCCACACACCATCAGGGGTGGAGCTGGCTGGCCCCACCCCCAATCGGCCCCCAACCACAATCAGGGGAGGGTCCCACCAGCCAAATGCCTTTGGCCCCTTCCCTCAGCCGGGCCTGCCGTGATTGGGCCCCAGTCAGGGTGGGCGGCCAGCCAACCTCTCGCCATGTCCTCCTCCTGACAGGCCCAGCCTCATCCTCCCCAATTGGGGCCAGGCAAGCCAGCCCACACACGTGTATGAATTAGTGCACTGGGCCTTTAGTTTATAAAGACTTACTTTCTTAAATTTATAAAACCACTCCAAAGTAGCTGAATTTTTCATAATTCACTACCTGGGAAATGCTATCACTGGCTAATTGCTTTTTGTTTATCCAATCAACAGAAATTTTTCTACCTATTCAGATGCCTGAGAATGTTCTTTTGTGAGCACTTTCACACCCAAAGCAACATTAGCACTCTTCATGTTTTAAAATTGTGCTAAACTTTGATTTTGCCAGCAATAAAAGCATTCTCTATTTTGTTTGTTCCCAAAGACACTTTCTGTTACATTGAGGTTGTCAGTCAGGTAGATAACTGAAGTTTTGGTTGAGAACCAAATTGTTTGAGATGGGAGACGTTCAAGAAACGAGGTTTTGAGAAGACGAGGTGGAAAAAAATAACCGAGCCCACAAGCAACTGGAAGAAAACAAACTTAAAAGGCAGGAGGAGAGAGTCAAAAGGAAATGAAACATCTGCAATAATAGGGGCGCCAGAAGGAGAGGAAACAGCAAAGAATAGAAAACCTGTTTGAAGGAATAATTACAGAAAACTTCCCTGATTTTGGGAAGAAAAAAGTCATAGAAGTCCAGGAAGCACACAGTCCCAAATAAGACGAACCCAAAAAGACTGACATCAAGACACATCATATTTAAATTGGCAAATACCAATGACAAAGTAAGAATCTTAAAGGCTGCCAGAGAGAGACAGAAAGTCACCTACAAGGTATCTCCCATTAGACTATCAACTTATTTCTCAATAGAAACACATCAGGTGAGAAGAGAAAGCAATGAAATATACAAAGAGAGAGAATGAATTCAAGAAAAATATACTCAGCAAGGATATCATTAAAAACTGAAGGTGAATTTGGGAGCTTCACATACAAAAAAAGGCTAAGGCAGTTTATTACGACTAAGCCAGTAATGCAAAAAATGCTAAAGAGACTGCTATTAAAAAAAAAAAAAAAAAAAAAAAAAAAAAAAAAAAAAAAGAAATAGAAAGGGAAGAAGGAACACAGGCATAAAAAATAAAAATGGTGACAAACAAGTACCTGTCAATAATAACCTTAAACATAAATGGATTAAATGCTCCAAACAAAAGACATAGGGTAGCTAAATAAGAAAACATAACTCATATACTGTATTTGCTGTCTAAAAGAGACCCCCCCTCAGAACAAAGGACCCACACAGACTGATAGTAAAAGGATGATAAATTTTTTTTCAGGCAAATGGAAAAAAAAAAAAAAAAAGCTGGGATACAAATAGTAGCTGACAAAATAGACCTCAAAGTGAAGGCCATAACAAGAGATAAGGAGGGCCATGTCATAATACTAAAGGGAGCAATTCAACAAGAGGATGTAACTCTGGTAAACATATTCACACCCAATACAGGAGCACTCAAGTACATAAAAAGAACTTCTTGAAGATATCAAGGGAGAGTCTGACAGCAATACAATCGTAGTAGGGGACTGTAATATCCCATTGATACCACTGGATAAATCCTCTAAACAAAAAACCAGCAAAGAATGTCCCAACTACAGATTTTAAGTTCTGTTTATCTGTTGGATAAACAGAAAGCAATGTCCCTAAATGTCCCACTAAATCAGATGGAACTAATTGACATCTTCAGAACATTTCATCCCAAAGTTATAGAATATACATTCTTCTTAAGTGCACACAGGACATTTTCAAAGATAGACCACATATTAGGACATAGATAAAGTCTCCTTAAATTCAAGATGACAGAAGTCATATCAAGCATCTTCTCAGATCACAATGGCATAAAATTAGAAATCAACTATAATAAAAACAATGAAAGAAAGATCAAATACCTGGAGGCTAAATAGTATGTTATTAAACAACTAGAGACCCAGTGCATGAAAGTCGTGCATTGAGGAGGGAGGATATCCCTCAGCCCAGCCTGCATTCTCTCCAACCTGGAACCCCTTGGGGGATATCCAACTGCCGGTTTAGACCCGATCCCACAAGGACTGCTGGTACCCAGCTGGCCTGCCAGACTGATCACCTCCTAACCACTCCCCAGCTAGCCTGAACAACACCAAACTGCTCTTGTGCCAGCATGATTGCCTCCAACTGCCCTCCCCTCTGGCCTGATTGCCTTAAAAAATATATAATAATAATAATAATCCTGGTAACAAATGACAATGGAAATGCACAACAATCCAAAATCTATGGGACACAGTGAAAGCAGTCCTGAGAGGGATGTTCATAGCTCTTTAGGCCTACCTTAAAAAACAAGAAAAAATGGTAATAAATTATCTAACCCCACAACTGAAAGAATTAA